CTTTACAAATATCACCATACCAAAGTATATAATTACTAATTTGGATTAATGCTATGAAAGCAAATAACTGGGTTGTAGGAGAGAATGGCAGGGAACCTAATGTAGATGTGAGGTTAGGTCTTATTTCTCACAGCTTCTGGGCAGTTGGTTCCTCCAGGCTTCCAAGCAGCCATCTTTGAGTACTGAAGAGAGGATAGAAATCTCCATGGTCATCATTCACAAATACCCTTGGTGCTTCTGTTTGAGATGTCTGGGAATAAATTGTGATTGTTCTTATTTCAAGTCCAGCTGAGAAGAAGCATATTCTTCCCAGCCAGGACTGGATGAAGAGAAGAATGAAATCTACAGGGGTAAGTTTGATGTTTTGGTCAAACCTTTATGAGATTACTCTGTAGAATTTTGTTTTTCCTTTCAGGTACTTTCCCCCTTCCCCCATTCTTTTTAAATGAATAAAACTTGCAAAAGAAAACCCCTTTTAAGGAATAATTACCAAAGCATTTTCTATTGAGAGACTCTCTTCCCTACCCACTCCCTGTAGGAAGGTGAAGAGCATCTTGAAGAAAAGTTAGGAGGAAGCTTTGGATATTCAGGGGGAGTTTTTGACAAATTCCTGGTGTGATAGAAAGAGAGCTTCAGTGGACTAGGGGTTATAATGGACTTGGGTTTCTCATCCTTATGCCACCACTTATGGGTAAATGTAACCTTGGGTAAGTAACAGAGCTGGAAGGTTGCTACAACCATGAGAGTAGTGTCTTGGTCCACTTTGTTCATTGCTGAATCCCCAGTGTGAGCCCTGCACCTGGCACATAGTTGGCCAATAAATATTTGTTCAGTTTTGCTCAGTGAATGAATTAATAACCTTTTTGGGAAAAAAACCAAAGCAATGAATCCCTGTATGATCTGAATTCAACAATGGGGTGGGGAGCCAGAGAGGGAAAATATGGTGACCTTCATAGTGCAAAGGAGGGGTTGCTGCTGGAGTGGGTCTGGAAACAGGGAGTTTGGCATGCCAGGGTTATGTTGGGAGGCTGGAATGTTGATGGGAAGGAGTGGCACTTTCCATTGTTGCTTTTCTAGAAAGACAATTTTCGCTGTGGAAAGCAGAAAACAGAAACACAGCTGGGACCTCCAGGGATGATTGTGCCTCCCCCCTCACCAATACACTTTTTTGAGCAACTAAACGCAGAGTCCATACCTTTCTGGAACCAATTTGACGTGTTACCTCAGGATCTACTGAAGGAGTAAGTATCATGTAAGCCTGTGGGAGAGCCAGGGGACCTGCTCTTCTCTGAAGCAGAGAAGGCACTAAGTCGCATGCTCTTCCTGAGTAAGGAGGGGAGAAGAACTGTCCCCTCTGCTTGTTCAGTGAGTTCGGAGACTTACCAATGTACAGTGATGACGGTAATGACCACCATTTAGCAAGTACTTACCACTTGCCCGGCCCTGCGCTATAGAAGCACATTACGTCTATTCTCTTGTTTTGTTTTGTTTTTCAGATATACAGTCATCTTTATTATAATTCATAAATACATTATAAACAGACCTGGATCTTTAATAAGACACACTTAGGATCTGATAGGCTTCTGTTTTCCACTCAGTTATGTAGTTAGAAAACCCAGTTTACTTGAGAATGGTAGAAGTAGTGTCTTAGTTTCCTTAAGAGAAGTTTTCTCCTCATAGGCATTCTGGAATCTTTGGGCTTGTGGGTCAAAAGACCAGACTGTTTTAATAGACATGCCCATGTTCAGTGCTGTCTGCATTCCTCAAATTTCAATGGGCACCTGTCCTATAGAACATTCAACTTGTTCCCCAAATTTAGTATAAAGTGCAGTTTTAAAAAGGGGTCAAGGGGCGCCTGGGTGGCTCAGTCGTTAAGCGTCTGCCTTCGGCCCAGGTCATGATCCCAGGGTCCTGGGATCGAGCCCCGCATCGGGCTCCCTGCTCTGCGGGAAGCCTGCTTCTCCCTCTCCCACTCCCCTTGCTTGTGTTCCCTCTCTCACTGTCTCTCTCTCTGTCAAATAAATAAATAAAATCCTTTAAAAAAAATAAAAATAAAAATAAAAAGGGTCAAATGTGCCCAAGCTTCCAAGCTTCCAGGCTTATCCTATAAAAACAGCATTTATCATTCACTTTACCAACTCTCCCTGCCAAATAAAGGACCCCAAAGGATAAGTGTCAACCGCCAATGTTAGGTGAGGCTCCTCTTCTCTTCTCAAATCAATTTATTTGGAATCCTGAGCAATCACAGCCAACTTCAATGGAGGGCTGCAATCTCTCTCAAAAAGCCTATTTTCTTATTTGAACCTCTACTAGGCACTATTACCCTCTTCTTCTCCTCCTTCTCCTTTTTCTTTTTAAAGTAAGCTCTATGCTCAACAAGGGGCTTGAACTCATGACTCTGAGATCAAGAATTCCATACTCCGCTGACTGAGCCAGCCAGGAGCCTTCACTCTCTTCTTTTTATAAACGAGTCATGGATAAGTGGGAGGCAGAAGGGCAGTGTGGTTTGGAGTGAGACAGCCTTTGGATTTTGCATTGAAACTTCCCAGTTTTGTGCACTTGGGTAATTTATCTAGCATCTTTATGCCTCATTCCCTCGTTTGCAAAATGGGGATAAGAACGCCTGTCCTCAGCTAATTGAAAGCTGTTGCCCGATGAGCACCTATTGGCTTAGGTCTTTTTAGGCCCACAGTGGAAATTTATTCAAATTTGGAGCCCTTTCCATGCCTTTTTCCTCAGCCACGCTCTCCAAGAAGAACTGTTGCTGACTGGCTGTCTCTGTCCCCTCCAGCCTCTTACCTGATGAAGGGAAAACTATGCCTTCCCTGGAGATGAAGACACAATTGGCCATGATGAAGAAGAAAGCTCCCCTGGAAAAGAGCCGACCCGACAGTGCCATTTCTGCTAAGATGTTCTTATCCATACACCATCTCACCCTGCAGGTGAGAGCTAGGGAGCCTCGGAGACAGAGGTCTAGATGCAAATCCAGACTCATCTCTCTTCAAGGCTGGAGGAGTTGACGTTCTCTTTCTTCTTTCTCTCTACCCTTCCACGCTGGACCCAAGCCTCACAGAAGGGCTGGGCTATATGTAGGCGAAAGCAAAGCACGGGGAGGGGTTTGAGGAACATTCTGTTTCTCCTGCACTTTGTTCCCCGCTCCGGTTCCTCTCTCCAGAGCCCTGCTACAATGCTGCGCGTACCTGGTTCTCAAACAGTGCTCGTTGGCTATGTGGGTACCTACCTGCATTTGAAGGGTATGTCTTGGGAAAAGGAAACACCTTCAGTAGAGCTTTTCCTCTTTGTCTTTTCTTTCTTTTTTTTCCCTCCAGAGACCAGCATTGAGATATCCTAGACATCTGAAGAAATTATATTACACCCCCAACATAGAAGGTAGGTTTTCTGGTGGATCTGGCCAGATCCTCAGGTACTGTCCCCCCCGTCAGCCCACAGTTCTCATACTTGGTCTGGGTCCCGGTTTGTTATGTTTGTGGCCACAGTCATGCAAGGTCCCGTGTGGAACTCGGGAAACTGCTGTTTCAGGAGGCAGCCCCCCTCCTCCACCACAAAAGGCTTGGTTCTGACAGAGTGGGTGTCACTGTTGTGGAGCAGGGCCCAGCAAGCAGCCCCCGGGGAAGGTGGGCAACGCCAGGGAGAAGAGGATTGAGCCTGTGCTCTGGTCACCAGGTCACAAGAAGCAGCAGCAGAGGAAGGTGAAAACCCCACCGAAGAGACAGGTAGAGTGGCCATGAGGGAAGCCGGAGGACCGGCTGGGATGGGCCACGGGGTGCAGCCTGGAATGGGAAGGGGTGGAGGAGGTGCGAGTCTCCCTGTTCTCCGTCTGGTTCTAGATACAGAGTTCCTGTCTGCTTGCAGACACTAACTTCCTTCTTTTAGACTCTTTTTGAAACGTTTTCTTCACTTCCAAAGGTCCTAATTCAGTTCCTCCTCATGTGGGTTTCAGGAGGCTAAAAAGAAATCCAAGAGTGATCCAGGGAGCCAGGACATTTTGCATAAATGTTCAGGTGCCGTGGTGTGTGGCCCACGCTATGGTAAGGAGAATATGGGTTTGGGAGGGATGGGATCTCAGGACGTAGCTGAGGACGGGAAAAGCCGGACACGTCTGTCATTTTGGGACCTGCCTTCATTAGGCATTCACAGTTCTCCTCGGAATGTTCTGGCTTGGCTGGGCTGCCGTGCATCATCTTTCCATCAAATATTTACTAAGGAAGCAAGCTGGGCCAGATGTCTGCTTCATGTGGGTGTTTGAGAGATGACCATGAGCATGAGTCAGAGTCATTTTTCCTCAGGTCTTACTTTAGGAAAGATGGAGTGGTTTGAGAATGAAGAGCAAGCCATGAAGCAGGAAAGAGCCAGGGCCCCTGTCTGGCCCCAAGAGGGTTCTAAGGAAGCAGAGTCCAGGCTCCCTCGCTTCCCAGCCACAAGTTAGTTCCTGGAGGCTCAGGTTGAGGTCAGCACATTATCTAGACCCCTCTAGGAGGCAGGTGGCCAATTCTTGACAGGCAATTCTTTTCCTGTGGTGTTCATGCTGAAGACGAGAATAGGTAGCTCCCGTTTTTGGAATCCTAATCACGTGCCTGAGCTGAAAGATATCCTTACCCTGGTCCCTCTGATGTTGCTCAGTTTGAGCGTAGACAAAAAGAAAGAAAGAAAGGGAGGGAGAAAGAATCCTCCTAAACCTTAGGAGCTTCTTCGGCCCTACTCAGAGTGGACCTTGTTGACTGCTTCCTCATCAGAATTCGCTCTCCCCCTCCTAGGGCAGTGAGAGGGCTCAGGTGAGATGTTTCCTCAGAAGAATGCTCCTCTCTCGGTTTATTTCCCATCCCACTGAGCTCTCAGATGCCAACAGTGGCCCCTGACCTGCAGAACTAAGAAGCTTCCTGACATTCACATGGGAGGTAGACAAAACCAGGGCTGTAGCCCAGGGTGAGGCTGACAGGTCCAAGGTTAGCACTCCATCCAGGGTGATCAGCACTCCCCTGAATTCATTCAGGTGCTTTTCATTCCTCTTCCTGATGTCTCCAATAGGAGCAGATTTGCTTGGGTGACCGGGGTGCCTTTTTGAATTATGTTCTTGGAGCAGTGGCCTGTCCTCACTGGGTTGAGAAAGGCCTTATGAAGAGTTGATTTTTGCATTGTATCTGGAATGTGTGAGAGTCTTTCTGATACGGAAGAGAATTCCAGAAGTGGGAATAGCCTGTTCGGGTGCACCTAGGAGGAGCATGGCTGCACAGGGAACACGGTGGTCCATCGTGGCTGTGGGTTATGAAAGAGACGGTGGTAAAGGGCCAGGCTGAAGAGGTAGGCAGTAGCATGTATAGCTTGCTAAGATGTTTGACCATGGTCATGGTGCTCCACCCCCTGACCACACACTGAAATCAACTGAGATTTTCTTTTTTTTCTGAGAAAGCGAGAGAGAGAGAGAGAGAGAGAAAGAGAGAGAGAGTATGAGAGTGTGAGCAGGGGCCAGAGGGAGAGGGAGAGAGAGAATCATAAGCAGGTTCCACGCCTCCAGCGCAGAGTCCAATGTGGGGCTCAGTCTCATGACCCTGAGATCATGACCCTGAAATCATGACCTGACCTGAAGTCGAGTCAGCTGCTTAACTGACTGAGCCACCCAAGTGCCCCAACTGAGGAGCTTTTAAAACCCAGATACCCAGGACGTACCCCACACCTATTTAATCAGAAGTTCTGGTGTTGGGACCCAGGCCTCAGTGTTTTCCAGAACTCCTAGTGCTTCACGTGTGCAGCTAAGGTAAGAACCAGGCTGGTAGGGAGCCAACGGAAGTGTTCAGCAAGGGAGTTCCTCAACTGGCTTTGCCTTTTTGCATAACACCTCGGGTGGCAGCTTGGAGGATGTTCTCTTCTTTTTTTTTTAAGATTGACTGATTGATTTGACACAGAGAGAGAGCCCAGGAGCACAAGCAGGGAGAGTGGCAGGCAGAGGGAGAGGGAGAAGCAGACTCCCCACAGAGCAGGGAGCCCGATGTGGGGCTCGATCCCAGAACCCCGGGATCATGACCTGACCTGAAGGCAGACCCTTAACCGACTGAACCACCCAGGCGCCCCGGAAGATGTTCATTTAGAGAAAGGGAATTGAGAAAGGACAAGATGAGTGCATTTAAGGACTCGCTGGGGAAACAGCTGATGCAGAAGAATCAGAGAACTAGAGCTTTTGGAAGGAAGGAGTTTCATTTTCAGAAGCCAGTATGGGGACATTAGGGTTGGTACAAGAAGGTAAGAGGAGTCTTCATTAACCAAAAACATAGGGTCAGGGTTTCTTTTGCTGCTATGATGTGCAGATACCTGCCCCTTGGGTTTCTTGGAGGAACCCTAAGTCTTTTTTGTTTTTCCCTAAGTCTTTTAACATACCCTTGACCTTAATCTCAAATTCTGTGATAGATGTGGTCCCAGTCCCAGGTGAACAGAGCCACAAAGAGAACTCAGAGGCCCAACTCCCTTTCACCTCCTCTAACCTGTCTTGTCCAAGATGAGGAGTCATTTGTAGGCTAGGGGTCAACTAGAAGCCCAACAGTGGGATATGAAATAACAGTAAGAATTGAATTGAATTGACTTCGTGGTCACTAGGTCACAGAACTCTACTAAGTCGGAAAACTGACAAAAAGCATCCACAGCGGACGAAGTCAGAAGGACCCAACTTGGAAAAGGTAAGAGCACCAGAACCATTCTGCTAGGGCCCTGTTTCTGTTACCTGTTACTGTTTAACACACGATGTCAAAGCTGAAACCACAGTGGTTGGCCGTTCCTTGGGATTCTGAGGGGTGAGTGGACAGTTTTTCTGGTGTTGCTTGATGTCACTCATGCACCTACCTTCAGCTGGCGACTGGGGTGGGGCTGTTAGCCAAATCGTCTTAGTTCTCTTCCATGAGGTCTCTTCATTGTGCCTTGTTTGGGTTTCTTGATAGTATGGTAATCTCGTGGAAGCACTTCCTTGAGAGATGGGGCTGGAACTGGAACAATGTCACTTCTGCCACATTTCATTGGTCAAAAAACCACAAGTCCAGGGGTGCCTGGGTGGCTCAGTCATTAAGCGTCTGCCTTCGGCTCAGGTCGTGATCCCAGGGTCCTGGGATCAACCCCGCGTCGGGCTCCCTGCTCAGCGGGAAGCCTGCTTCTCCCTCTCCCGCTCCCCCTGCTTGTGTTCCCTCTCTCGCTGTTTCTCTCTCTGTCAAATAAATAAATAAAATCTTAAAAAAGAGAAAAAAAGAAAAAAAAATCTTTTCTTTCTTAAAGTCTTGTTTCAAGTTTCCTTACACTTACTCTAATGAATTTCAGGGTTCCACAAGGAGGCCACAGATGGAATACTCTGAGAATTATCTGGAGTCCTTCCCTGATAAGGATGGTAAGTTACTAGGGTGGAGAGACCTTAGTAAGTCACTCAGGCCAGTGAGAGCTGAACCTATGTTGACAAGGATGGTTCACCTCCCTGGAGGCCATAGTCCTCATCCCTCAGAAGGGTCCTAAAGACACCCAGCCCTTCCTTTTCTGTCCTCCATTTGTCACAGTTGGGAGAGGGCTGCAGGTGCAATTAATGGCTGGGTCTTCTTTTAGATCCTGAGTTATCCAAGATAGAACCCTCTAACAAGGACATCAGCGCTCAGGAAGAGGTTGTGCCGGAATCCCGAGAGAGGAGCTCAGAGGACCTCTTAGACGATACATCTAGAAGAGGGTGGAACCCTGAGCTCAAACTCCTGAGGATACTTCAGGCCACTGATGATGAGGATGAGGAGAACCAGCTCTGTGGGTCACAGAGTGAAGAGTCGTATGGGATTTCACAGGACAGTCTTACTTCAGAGCAGGATGCTTGGAATGCCAAGGACAGTGACCTTGGACATAAGGACAGAACGGAGAGGGGACTTCTGCTCCCGGGAGCCTTTACCAGGGCCTGACTGTAGGAATTCTGCTTTCTTCATTCACTTCTCCTTACCTCTAAAATCAGTGAGGGAGAAAAAGCCTCCCCCTTCTTAAACTGAGATTGTTTCTCTTTCATTAGGGACAGAATAATTTTAGTGATTAAACACAACTGCTTAAGGAAAAGACTCATTCTGTTTCTGGGAGGAGGGGAGAGATGTTTCTGCCATGTGTTTTCTGGGTCACTTTTATCTCCCCTCTGAAGCTCTGAAAGGTTTCCAGTTACAGGAAGATGAGTTTTGGGGCACCCGGCTAGCTCATTTGGTAGAGTGTGCAATTCTTGATCTTGAGGTTGTGAGTTCCAGCCTCACATTGGGCATAGAGGTTACCGGAAAAAAAAAAGGGGGGGGCGGAGATGAGTTTGGCCTGTGGGAACCCCTACTGTGTTCTAGATTTTCCTCTCATTCTCTGGAAATGGTTTTTTTGGGGTTGGCACCCAATAATCACTTTCAAATAGTATATGTATTAACCTGAAAGAGTCTGAAGCTCCAGCTTATAAATTACTGAGTCTGTGGGAATGTTTCAGTGATGCTCATAAAGACTCAGAATTTCAGAGTCTCAGGGGACCTTGAATTTGGTTTTTGGAAGGATTTTTTCCCCGTGTTTTTGTCCTTAAAGTTTTTAATATAGAAAATTTTCAAAATTACCTAAAAGTCAGGAGAATAATATCGTGGAAATCTCAGGTACCCAGTAGCTTAGATGCGGGCAGTGAAGGCCCCTGCCCTGGGCCCCTGGTCCGTGAGCTGCTGTCAAAGCAGCTGGAGCCCATTATTCTCACCAGCTCTGCACCCAGGGTCAGGTCTCCTTCCCAGAAGTGGGAGCTGGGTGGAAGAAGAGAGCCCAGACCATTGGTGGTACTCACTAGCACTTAGCCTCAGCTACCAGCAGCTGGGGGAGGATGAGAAATGATGACATCCTGTCCTTCCTGAGGAGACCAGCCCTCTGCCTTGGAGCTGGGAGGGGGATCCCTGTGTTCTTGGGCAGTAGCAGTCCGGAGTCGTTTCTGTCTCACCGAAACTGGGGTGGGGACGGGGAGAGCACGGCTCTAGGGTCACATAGCAGACTCAGTTCCTACCGAGCTTTTGTAGATTCTCTTAAACAATGTGCTGTATGCTCTTAGGGCCATTTTCAGAGACATAAACATATTTTTAAAAATTATTTTCACCAGTTTCATTGGACAGCAGTCTGCGAACGTCTTACACTCTTATGCCGGAAGTTAAACTCAGGACTGGGCCTGACATCTTTTTTATTTTTTAAGATTTATCTATTCATTTAGAGAGAGAGCACACAAGCGGGGCGAGGGGCAGAAGGAGAGGGAGAGACTCCCAAGCTGACTCCTTGCTAAGCTCGGAGCATGGGGCTCCGTCTTTGTGAGATCATGACCTGAGCCAAAATCAAGGGTCGGCCGCTCAACCGACTGAGCCACCCAGGTGCCCCCCTGACATCTTTTTATAAGAGAAACTTATCCCTCATCAATTATTTGGTTCTGCTAAGTACAGTTGTACAAGGAAAGCAGATTAAATGTTAAATCTTTTTTAACGTTGTGTCAAAACAGACCAAATTAGAAAGCTAAAACTGCTGCCTACTTGTTCCTTTCTCCCAAGCCAAATCAAAATTATATATGACATCATTTGTGTTACTAGGCTGAACTATACTTAGCTGAATCTTGATAGTGAGAGGAATCCGAGAGGTGTCATCTGGGCTGTTTTTCTGCAAATAATTATGTCTCGAATGTACATTACATTGTAGAATGATTTGTGTGGGTTAACTTAAAAATGACACCTTTTTTCAACTGCTTGGTCTTGCCTCAGACCTGTCCACTCAGGCAAACCCAATTTCCAGTGGTCAGTAGTGAGGCTGAGGAGGGGGCAGGGCTGACCTTTCATTTGCTCATTTTATCTGAAGACTCAAAGAGAAATTCTAACTATTACTGATACAACTACGTACTTAGTTAAGCAACTGTTAGAAATTGGCACATTCTTTTCAGTTTCGTTGATGAGTACAAAGTTACTTTTGAATCATGACATATTTTGAATGAGAAGATGTTTGCTATTTGAACACTGGCCTTCGCAATCGCTTCTCGGCCTTTTGGCTAAGATCAGGTGTGAACACTGGCCTTTTGCTTCTGTTTTCGAAGGGAGGAAAACCATTTGTGGGCTGAAACCTGTTTCTCCTCTGTTATACCAATCCCTCAAATCGCAAACAGAATTTAGGACAATATAATCTGCATGCCACATTACAGTCTTCAAGGCAGTTTATACCCACTATTTCGGTTGGTTCTCTGGCCGACTCTATAGATAAATGTGGATTGTCTCCATTTTATAGATTAGAAGACTGAGGCTCAGAATTTAGGGCTGATGATAACTCATTCGGGGCCTTAGTGAATTAGAAAAAAAAAAAGGCATCCTTTAAGACACTTTACTACCTGTTGAAAATTCCCTCAAAACAAATCTACAATGATTACAATATGAGCGGCAACCCTAGAGTTGGTCCACAACCTTCACCATAGGACCTGGAGGGCTTACTGGAGAGGTGAAGTCATTTGCCAGAAATCTAAGGCCAGCAAGGGAAGGGGGCTGGGCTTAGAACCTGGCTCCTTGCTCCTCTCATCCACTGAACTCTGATGCCTCTCTGATTCCCTCTCTTTAATGCACGGCGGAGCCTGGGACAGTCTTCATCTGAAAGGAAGGATGAGACCACGTAGAAAAGAACCGACTGAGGGGAAGGAGTCCTCATGAACACTTTGCATTAGCCTCCCAATGTTCTGAGAGAAGAGGAGCCAGGTAACTGTTGCTAACTGCCATTTCCTCACCATCTGTGCCATGGGCATCAGGAGAACTAAGGCCCAACAGCCAGGAGGCTCTAGCTAGAGTTGCTTGGAGATCCGCTTTACACATTTAAGCAGACAAGAGGTCTTAGGACTTAGCTAGTTGGACGATTGTCCTGGATCCTTATAAAAGGCTCTGGCTTCTTTTCTTCTTTTCTGTCGTTCTTTGTGATCCTTACTAGTGGTAGGCCACTGTGTTTGGGTCACCATGTTTTCTGAGCACACTTCCCCATGACACCTGGCTTGGTTTGACTTGTGTGTGAAAGCAAAGTAAGTGGAAGAGTCTTCAGACTGTCTGTGTCCACAGTCTCCTCCCTGTGGGGCCAGCGATTCCTTTGTTTAGGTATTGGTCCTGACATCTGGGCTAACAGACTCTGTTCTTCATTGTTTCTGGGTTACAGTAAACTCCCTTTGATGGGATGGAGTCAGGGTTTCAGCCAGGGTAGCAGTGACCCTTTAAAAAATCCGTTTTGGGGTGCCTGGGTGCCTCAGTCATTAAGCATCTGCCTTTGGCTCAGGTCATGATCCCAGGGTCCTGGGATCAAGCCCCACATCAGGCTCCCTGCTCAGCGGGAAGCCTGCTTCTCCCTCTCCCACTCCCCCTGCTGTGTTCCCTCTCTCCCTGTTTCTCTCTGTCAAATAAATAAATAAATAAAATCTTTTAAAAAAATCCATTTATTAAAATGTGCTTAAAGGAATTGTTTGCTAAATTAAGGGCAGAAATACCTCTGGCTGTTGGATAAGAATGATTAGAGGCCCTTGGGAATCCAGGGCAATCTGGGAAAGACTTTCTAAATTGTCTCTTTCAGTTGCCAGAAGGTACCAGGGTATGAAATTATTTTGTCCTTCTGTTTATATATTTATTTAATAAATACTGAATACCTATTTCGTGTTGGACAATCGACCCCTAGATTATCTTTATAGAGAAACAAAAATTTCTGGGGAGATGAAGAGTCATTTCTGGGAAGATAGAAATTTTTCTGGATCACTTGGTGAGGTTGTTTGGGACCACTAGGTGGTGATAGTACATTGTGAAAATGATCCTCTTCCAAAACTGGAGGCCTCTGGTTCTTATTCTGGGGCCAGAATAATAAGCCAGAGATTTCCTTGTTGAGTACATGGAGAAAAAAACCCCACGTTTCACCAACGAGATATATGATCCAATTTAAATGCTCTGATGAATGAATTAGTTGTGGTTTTTTTTTTTTTGAGATTTTATTTATTTGACAGAGAGAGACACAGCAAGAGAGGGAACACAAGCCGGGGGAGTGGGAGAGGGAGAAGCAGGCTTCCCGCGGAGCAGGGAGCCCGATGCGGGGCTTGATCCTAAGACCCTGGGATCATGACCTGAGCGGAAGGCAGACACTTAACGACTGAGCCACCCAGACGCCCCTGAATTAGTTTTTCAACAATTTAGAATGTCATTGGAAGAACTATTTCAAGAGTGTGACAAATTCTGGAACATGCCCAGGGGCCTAGGATTTGGGGAAGTCGGGAGCTATTGATGATCCTGACAGTCATCAGTTGGGCAGATACAGGGAGGCAGCATTTGATGGGTAGAAATATCAAAAATTATCTGAGGGCCTTATCCTGTTTTGCATCTCCTAAATTTATCTTTTTTTTTTTTTTAAAGATTTTATTTATTTGACAGAGAGAGACACAGTGAGAGAGGGAACACAAGCAGGGGGAGTGGGAGAGGGAGAAGCAGACTCCCCACTGAGCAGGGAGCCCAATGCAGGGCTCAATCCCAGGACCCCGGGACCATGACCCGAGCCAAAGGCAGACGCTTAACGACTGAGCCACCCAGGCGCCCCCTCCTAAATTTATCTTGATCAGATTTTGCCTGTTTAAAAATTCAGGGAAGGTGAAACCAATAAATTCAGTTTGTTTGTTTGTTTTTGAGTCTATACTACTACTAAGGTTGGCCCTGCTTTGAAAGGGATCTCCACAGATAATTAAAACTCTCTCTTGGTCTCCGGATCAAACCCAACCCTTTTGCCTGTCTTATAAGCCTTACGAGGTAGCTTTGTGGCCTGGCTGGGCCCTGCTTGTCTCCCCAGTCATTGGTTCTAATGAGTCATGTCCTCTCTTATCTTCAGGCTTAAAAAAATTTTTTTTCCCTGTACTTTTTTTTCAACCTGTACAATTCTTTTCTTCCCCCTCTGCCTGACTACTTTCTACTCATTCTGTAGATCTCAGCTCACATGTTACTTATTTGGGGAAGCTTTTTCTGACCAGTGGCAGGGTGAGGTTCTCCTCTTTCACTTTTCCTCTCCCGGCCTGTGTGAAGTTCACAGCT